ATGGATTCATAGAAGGCTTGCTAATGGAGCTACAATCACATTAGAATGACATCAACACACTAAACTATACTCAGTATCTGTGCTGGGATCATTTGGCTCCTGCCACAGTAAGCAAGAAATGTAACGATCATAAATCAGCCCCAGATACATTGAAGAGAGTTTAATCTCCACAATGGTAATCTTTTAACAGGTCAGGCAGCATCTATGGAGAAAGGAAAGTGAGTCAATGTTTCGGGTCCACAACCCTTTGTCAGAACAGTTCTGACGAAGGGTCGAGGACCCGAAACGTTGACTCACTTTCCTTTCTGCATGGACGCTGCTTACCTGCTGAGTCTTCCCAGCGACTTCTGTTTTTGTTTTCAGATTTCCAGTATCTGCTTTGTGTTTTTTTTCTGGTAATCTTTTACCAGCTCATCTCCAACACCTCAACAATGAGGATTATTAATATTGTATCAATATGTTTACCTACAAAATACAGAGTCACTGCTTTCACAGCAAATTCTGTGAAGCGCTTTGGCACATCCCGACATAGAAGGTGCTATATTAAATGCAAATGATAGGATTATTAGTATTAGAATTCCATAAAAGTCTAAATCACAGTTCCAATAACTTGGAACTGTGGAGTATAAAGTCCAGAGCTAGAGCTTTCTTTTTCTAATAACATCCACGAGTTGGGAATTTTATTATAAGACATTCTCTTAACAACTTGAGCTACAGGATATCCTGTCAATTTAAGTGGGGACTGATCTCCACAATCCATTTCTTAAGTCATTTGGGAGCAACTGACAACTCTAAGCCACAAGAGGAAAAACGAGATGGTATCAATCGCCTCCTTCAATTGAAAGCTGAACTGTTGCCATTTTGAGCATTTTGCTGTAGCAAATTTAATATAAACCAATAACCCAATTACAAGGGATACCATCTAAAGCACATTATTGGATCGTAATTATTGAATGAATGAAGCATGACACCTTACAGTTCAACATAGAGCTATCAAACACAGGCAGTAAAACCTAATAAAACTAAATGCAGGAAGGGTAGCATTGGTATCAAATCTCATTTTCTTTTTCACATTACAGGCCATAAAATTACACTTGCAGGCTATGATTTATTTAGAGAGAAATCTAGATTATAAATTACTTTGAAACTTTTCATGGCCAGTTCTTGGAATACAAAACCACTATCGACAAGGCCAATGTTTTCCAATTGATACCACACACTAATGCCAAAATATACCAATACCAACCAGAATAAAACACTTTTGCACAAAATCTGCTTCTTTTATTAAGGACTGGTTAGTGCTATCATTTCATGTATGGAAAGCAAGCAATGAAAGACTCTGCTCTGTTGACTCTAAGGGAGTATTTTATGATTTGGCACTCTCAAGTGACCCCTTAATGGGCAAAGTTCCTCAGCTCAATGGTGCTGCTGTGTTTAAATCTGTAGGATTTAGACTTCAGCTTTTGATGAACCTTAGTTTGAGGTGATATTGACAAACAGTGCTGGAGTGACATCTTGCTATAACTTTGTGAATATCTTAAAGTGCTTCACAATGTTTTGGTAAGGTAGAGTGAATGTGTAGGCAAATTTGCGCAGTGCAATATCCCACAAACATCCATGAAGTGAATGACCAATTTTATTTGGGAGATTGTTGACCAGGACACCGGGAGAAACTCCCTTGTCTTTTCAAATAGTGCCAGGGGATCTTTAATGTTCACCTGAATAGGCATACGGAACTTTGGTTTAACGTCTCATCAGAAGGATGGAAACGTCAGTGAGGGGATGTTCTTTGATTTGTCTTAACTCCTTCAAGTAATAATTCTACCAGTAAGATACCAAAAAGGCCAAGTCAAGTTAACACATACAACTATGCTTACTTAGAAGGTTTAAGTGCTCTGAGATGCTACCCTGCATGGAGGGCGCTATGTAAGTGCAAGTTGTGGTTGTTGCTGTTTTTGTTGTTGTTGTGGTAGAGGGTAAACACAGAATCTAGTCGTCAGGAGACTAATCAGACAATAGCACATTTATATAAATAGAACTAATGGAAGGCAAATATTCTTAGAAACTCTATCAAAACACAGCTCCACTATTTTTCCTTCAATTGAGAAGTGGGGCCTGCTACTTTGAACAACAAACTATTTTCAATTTTGTTGGAATCATTGCAAACTTACATTGGAGCAACTGTATTAACATCTTGTAGTATTTTGGAATTTCTAAATCAGGAAATAAAAAATTAAAGACCTCTTCGCCTCTGCAGCTGTCTTTTCCTGAGGACTCTTGAGATGGCTACTTGTCAGTTCTATAGCTCCTCTTCCTTCCACAATTTCAAAAGGAATTTACATTTGACATGGTCCCCATCAAGTATTAAAGCACCGCTTCTGGCTAACCATACAGAGTACATTTACATATATCCTGCATCATTTGTACAGTTTCCTGATTTTTTTAAAATGATATGCAATTTAAGATTGCCATGGGCTTGAATAACTAACAAGATTATATTTAATGTTTTCCTACATTGCAGTAAAAGTGTCAAAACGGCTTAATTCATATGGGTGTCAAAACCCCAACCAGTTCTGCTCATTTAGATTTACATTGAATGTTAAAGAGCAACATGCTTTGAACTATTTTTGCCAGTTTCCATGTGTATGAGTTTGTGTGTGTGTGTGTGTGTGTATATGTTTGTGCATGTATGTGTGTGTGTCCATGAGTATGTGATGCCACGTTTTAATATGCCTATTCGTTTCTGAGATTTGCCAACAAATAGACAAAAAAAACAACAGCCACTACACTTTACAGTACACTCCATGAAGCACTTTGAGATGAGATGTTTCAACAGCATGTCAAGTTGCTATACCAAATGCAAGGATGATTATTATTATAGACTTGATATTTTAGAAACAGTCCTGAGGTAGATTTAATGAATATTAATAAAACCTTTTTAAGAAAGGTCTGTTTGAATTGCTACATGGTTGTGTGACAGAGTCCGAAAAACTTGATTGGCCTGTGGGCGAAGGACTACTGTACATGCCAATCCCACTCTGACCACCCAGATGTTTGCAGAGTGGTGTATATTTGCCTGTCTGCTCTATTAATGGAGCATGTGAGCTATGCATTTCCAGCTTGCTCCATTAATTGAGGATTACAAAACTTAACTAACTAGATTGAATAAATAAACAAACAAACTGAATACATTGAATAAGAGCTTCGAAGGATTGCTTATGTGAGTTTAGGATTTAAAGTAACATATAAATAATAGGCAGTTATTAAGCATTGGTCCATCAAGCCCTATCTGTCCGAAAAGATTCCTTTGGTACATCCGTATCAGCACCTAATTATCTTAAATTCTTTTAAATTTCAGGAAGTGGTCTAGTTCCAGGATGCTACCCTGGGTGAAGGGTACTATATAAATCAATAGGGATGTTTAAAAGTGAGATAAATAGATGATATTATGATTAATAATAATCCTTGCATTTGATATAGCCCTTTATCACATTCAAACATCTCACAGAGCTTTCCAAGATTTTACTATGAAGTGTAGTTACTGTGCAGGTAAACACAGCAGCTAATTTGCACACAGCAATGTTCCACAAACAGCCATGAAGTAAGTCACCAATTTTATTTGGCGATTGGTAGCAAGAACACCAGGAGAAACCTCCTTCTCTTTTCAAATAGTACGATGGGATCATTAAACATCCACCTGAATCATCTAAATTATCTGAAGAATGGCACTTCCGACAATGCAACCCTCCCAAGCACTGCATTGGAGTGTAAGTCAAGACTGTGAGTTATGTAGTAAAAATATTAAGGGGTACGGTGAAAAGGATGGGGTACTGGAATTAAAAGATCTGCCAAAATTTAATAAACTGGGGGCGTGGGGATGGGGGCAAGGTGGGCCGAAGACTCAATGGGTTGAATAGTCTCCTCATGTCCCTGTGTGTCTATGTTCCTACCTATATAATTGGCAATGGTTTACTGATTCTCCTGTGTCTAAATATGTCTTCTAAACTTAGAAACATTGTGGTGGGGGGGGGGGGTGTACAAGAGAATAGTGGCAAAGAAGAGGCAGTGAGCAGATGTCAAAGCCCGCTTTTATTGCTCACAGCTGAAAGATGGAAGAGAGCCAAACAATAGTGTGTTGATTGTGAAGTGGTGGCATGCAGTGGACATGAGTGGCCCAGTATGTTGTATCCTGGGACAGGAGAGAAGAAACTGATTAAAGCACAAGTTTTTAATCAGTCTGAGATCTCAGATTTCAGCATAAAATCGTTAGATCATTACTGTACCAAAGACTAGTTTGGAAAAAACAAGCGGACACAAGTTATGGCAGTATTTGAACGTGTACAAAGTCTTCTTCCTCTGCTAGCCTTGGACAGCGGTATTTTTTTAAACATTAATTCCTACACTCTTGACAAATTAAATTTTTTATGTGAAGGTGATGTGTGACATGCTTTGCGATGTCCTCCCGAGGTGAAAGGTGTTCCATAAATGAAAATGTTGTTTCAATCATCTATGATTATAAAATAATAGAAATTCCATGACCATATTATTATAAAACAATAGGCTTTCCATGGCTGTATTTTATGATGTGTTTCTTCTGTGCTGCAGTGTGATAGCACTGTGACTTCCTTACAACATAGAGAGAAAGTGCTTTTAGGAACAGTGAGAACACAATGAGTATGGATTTCACCAGACTCACTTGGCACACTCTGCTGAAAATTGCATTTCCTAATAGGTTTTAACTTATTACAATACAATTTACACTTATATAGTGTCTTTCATGTCAGGAGAACGTCTCGAAGCACTCGACAATGCTGGTTGGGCACGCAAGCTGGGGATAAGAGCTGAGGTGGGTTGGGAGGGATGTCAAGCTATTCTGCACCTCTAAAGTAAGAAACCCAATTCAACAAATATGGTCCTCAGTGGATTAAAACATGGAGAACAAAAAAAAGCGCACTCCACAAATTTCCATTCTGAATACAGACATTAAAACAATCTCTTACTGTCGGTGTTGATACATTGAACCATCGGTGCCTGGATGCCGGGTCCACATTTGCTGCCATTATCGGGTATGCATTCTTCCAGTCTCACAATCTGCCAACTGTAACAGGACGGATTATCACACGGGATGGCTTCAATCAGGTGTGGACAGTTGCCAGTACCCCCAGTGGGCTCATTAACAATTTGTCGCCTCCGCAGTTTAAAACCTAGCCATAAAACAAGGAAGGAATCAATTTGCTTGTTCAGTTCAAACAATAAAAAAAACATTCTCTGGTCTGAATTTGCCTCAATTCTAAAGGCACAAGTGATCTATTCAACTGAATCTACAATTAGCAACTCAAAATAATACATTCTTCAAACCAGACAGATAGTTAATATAATTGGATAATTTAAGGGTGAAAATTGCGACCTGCAGTGTGTTAATTATCACTAATTGTCTCTATCAACAGTGATAATTATCACATCATTCATAAACGTTATCAACGTGGCTGGTCGATAACTAGAGACTGGGTGTGGGTGTAACCATCCATTCCCCCACACCGACTTCAGAACAATGGATAGGCTTAAAGATTTCTACACTCCCCTAGTTATCTTTCATCACTAGTTACATGGATTCTGTGCAGCTTCACAGTTTATAGCTTAACTCAATCAGTATCTTGTGAAGCGGCCCTCAAATGCCAGGTCCAGGATAAGGACCAAGAATAGAACTGCAGACAAATCTTGGAATCGGCTTCAGATCCAAACATTCAGCTAAGGTAGGTACGAGGGATTCCCACTTGCGCCTGGCTTTAGGAATAACGTTTTATTCACCAATTATTTTTTGTGTTGTGTCCTCCCTGAAACTCACCAGGCTAAACTGACGTGGGACCACTATCACTGTCAGAGAGAAAAGATTTTCATTGAAGACTCAAAGGTGGGCAACAGAGTTTGTATGAAAGATGCATATTCTAACTAGCTGTGACACTCAGTCCTTCAGAGAGGTGTCTGCCTTATTAAGGTGATTAATGTAAGCTCCTCAAATTGCCCAGAAAGCATCTTGCTAATATTCAAACCACAATTACCTCTGGTTTCTTAATTCAATTATTTCAGTGAATATTTTTCAATGTTTACAACTTCAGGCCTACAGCCTGATTTAAAATCGAAGGTTGCAGTATTTGGTAAGATTACTTTAGCAGAAGATTCATTTGTTATTCTTGTAGTCCTCAGGCGCAGGCAGCATCAGCCTCCACGGCTGCTCACTCATCCTCACTAAGCCAGTCAGGAACCTGGGTGTCTTGTTTGACCCTGAACTGTCCTTTCTCCCCCACATCCACGCCATGACCAGAACTGCCTACCACCTCCTCTGCAATATTGCCAGACTCCGCCACTCCCTCACCCCTCAGGCTGCCGAAACCCTCACCCACGCATTCGTCAAATCAAGGCTCAGTTACGGGAACTCTCTCCTCATCGGCCTTCCCAACTCTTCCCTTCACAAGCTGCAGATCATCCAAAACTCTGTAGCTCATGTACTCTCACGCACCAGGCTCCGTGACCCCATCACTCCCACCCTCGCCCGACTCCACTGGCTCCCCATCCCCCAGAGGATTGAGTTCAAGATCCTCGTCCTCACCTTTAAGGACATCCATGGCCTTACCCCTCCTACCTCTCTGACCTGCTGACTTTCTACCAACCTGCCCGCTTCCTCCATTCATCAGGCTCCAGCCTACACCATGTCTCCTGCCCGACCATCGGTGGCCGGGCTTTCAGCCTCCCTGCCCCACACTCTGGAACTCCATCCCACGGTCCCTTCGCCTCACTTCCTCCCTTGCCTCCTTCGAGGCCGGTCTCAAGACACTTCTCTTCAACCGTGCCTTTGGTCTCCCTCCGACCTCTCTGCCTTCCCTCATCCCTACACCACCCCTCCCCCATGCTCGGGCCCTGATACCTGACTGTTCAGCGCTTTGGGACATCCTCCCTACATGAAAGGTGCTCTATAAATGTAATTTTGTTGTTTTTGTAGACATATTACAGTAAACTTGTGTTGTCAATACAGTGGAGACTTATTAAAATCCCATAAATTACCAACCTGCTTTTTAACTAGGCCAGATAGCTAGTTTCACTGTGCATGGTGAAGAAAATTATTTTTTTTAGCAGGGAAAGCTACAGTTGTCAACTTCCGGATCATCCAATTGCTGCGTGTGCAGGACATGATGTCAGCGACCTGGAATTAGGGTGTTTTAGTGTGAAAGTAGCTAGCGTGGGGGAAGTGAACAACCCAGCTACTCACATGCTCAGTGAATGGGGTCCAGAGTGCAACTGCGTTACAATCAAATTTGGACTACAACAACAAAATTACATATTAAAGAAACCAATTGTAACTGGACTGCACAAGAGTCTTTTGTATTATTCAACTCTTATTTTAATTCCTTAAGACTAGCCTAATTAACATTGGAATCATTTTATATTTAATTGGCTTGAATTAAGATGGCTTAAATACCAATGATTTTGTGACACTGGCCTAAAAGGGTGACCCTGTTAAGCCACAGAGATTTGATTCTATAAACCCAGACCTTGTGTTATAAGGAAGCACAGAAACAATGGCCACCGTCAGCACTTCTGGGATGGTCGGGTCACTGTTGATGTCACTGCCTGCGTGTGAAATACCCAGGAAGTGAAGTCAGCAGATCATACTGCTCATGAAGCACAGAAGTCAGTGCAGGAAGAGTATATCCTGGGCTGGGCTATTAGTGGACCAGTGCTTAACTCCGGCGCATGAGATTCCTTTAACATGATTGCGTTACAACGATGCGAATGACAAAATCAGCATACCTTTCTTGCCTTGAGGCTCAGCACAGTTTTCGTAGGTACAGGGTCCCCAGGCGGTCCAGGAGGACACTTCACATTCAATGGGGCAGGAGATCTGACATAGCTGTGTGGTGGTAGGCATGGACCCAGTACACAGCCTGTTGTCAACAGGTTTGGAAGCTGATGGCAGAGAGAAGGGAAAAAAAGTATAGCTTGTGTAGCATTTCAATTCACACTTCAGATGCAACAGCAACTGAAAAAAACAATCCCCTATACTACTTTGTGCTCCTTCTAAGCATAATTATATTTTAAAAAGTAGCAGCCTTATAGAAGGTAAGTACAAGGGATAATAATGAACAGCAAGTACATATTAATTTTGCATGAATTTTTTTACCAATAAACTTATTTCTTGAAAATAATAATTTATATAGAGGCTGTCCATAAAATCTTGTATTCCTCCATTAAGCCTAAAGTGAACGTCCTGAATTAAAGTAAATCATTAACTGCAAACTCTGGTGTCAGTTTGATAATAGCAGCCTTTCTGAGAATGGTTGGCTTTCCCCATTCCCAAACATGCATTATGCATTCAGCAGAAAACTGACCTCAATTGCTTTCCAGACCTTCACTCAAGGAGCTGGGTAACACTAATCAGGGCATGTTTATGGACATATTGTATGTCAAAGCTGTATATTTTGTTGACTGTACTTGTTTAGATAAAAAACACTTTAATAGTTGGCTGCCCATTCAAGCCTACATACTGCTGCATTAGGGGAAAAAGAAAATGCTTCAAAAAAGAACTTTTGACCTAAACAAAATGAACGAACCAGTTCAAATATAGTCCAAGAAAGGGTGACAAAGTGTAAATCTCATGGATAGTCATTAATATATATTTGTGCGATGCGATCTCTCCTTTCCCAACAACAAAAGAGGTTTTCATACTAAATGAGAATGAACCTCCACAGAAAGAATGACATATTGAGGGCTAAAGTCATGAACACATTACTCAGTTTTACAAAGAGCAAGCTTCTGATTGCATGGCAGAGGGGAGTCTTGAACTACTATGCCCGTCCCTGAGATACATTTCTTAGCACCAAACAAATGTTGGCGGGGGTTGAGGGGTGACAAGAAAATGTTAAGGATGTTTCTCTGAAGGTTGGTAAATGGATGGACCTATCAGAGTGAGAGTGCCATTCTCTGCTCTAAATTTACAGACCTCTAAGCTATGACCTTAGAATGGGATAATCCAATTGTAAATTTACACTCCCAATTTACTCTGTAAATGTACCAAGCATCTGAGGATCACACTGGAGTCAGTGTAACACAATAATTCAATCGTCCATCAAATTTGTTAGCAAATAGGTACCTGTGTTTCAAAATATCGGTGCCAGTCTCCTGGGTGTACAGCTCAAGTGTGAAATTTGCGGCGTTTCATCATGCGTTGGGATCACAACATTATGAAACGCTATAAATTTCACCCCCAGGTTTATTAATTATCACCTCAATATAAGAAAAACTAAGCAAATTTGCCAGATCATTAACCCTTTTCTTCAGGAACATATATTTATACTGTCTTCACAATTTATGACAATTGATGTATTTTATTGATCATTTTGTTCCAGCCTAGTTTGGAGGAATACAAAGTTTTCATTCCTGTAGCAATTCTAGGACATTATAATAACAATAAAGGGAATAAATGTAAGAGATTAAATCACATACATTAGCAAACTGAAACCAAAAAAGTAACAATGTACAACAACAACAAGACAACAACAACAACAAGATTCCATTTATAAAGCGCCTTTCACGTCAGGAGGACGTCCCTGTAAATCCATGTACAGACATGGATTTACATGTTTTATTTAATCCATACTCTTTGAATAATTTTCTATAAAGCTATTCAAAGTAAAATTATTGCCTAAAACATATTTCACACAAATCACACTGCACAGAATAGAGAATTGAAACTACAATAAAAAATGCAATATTTCCTTTGTGAACCATTGCATTTTTCACCCTTACAAAACTGCATAACACCACCTTGTACTCCAGAACAACAGTGCAAGCTGTGGCAGTTGTTGTGATTTGATCTTACTTGAAATAAAGATACTTAATGCAGAAGTGACATAACATAAACCGTACTAAGCAGTTTTTCATCTTTGATGCATATTTAAGGTATTCTAAGTAATGAGTAGCTTTCTCTTGCCCAGGATTAATATAAACATCAGGTGTGTTTGGTTAATTTACATAATAGAATGTGATGTTCCAGAATTTGTTTAAACTCAACCCGGCACCTCAATCTCTTAAAATCAATGACCAGTGTCAACTGACGAGAAAAGCATTCGTCTGTGCTGAGTTATCTGATCTGAGCCAGGATACCAGCAGGAGTGCGACAAATGACCTTAGCTCTCCTGAGTTTGGGAAGGGAATACCTTAAACCAGCCCTGTGCCCTTGTAATCACTGTGTAATGAGCCCTTATTGTGTGGACCTTGTGTAAGGACAGTACTGAACTTGTCTGTCATGCTTCCCATGGTCAGATTGTCAGCTGACATTCATATGCAACCTCAGTCATGAAAACTGGTCACTTGGGAGAGGTACTGGAGGACAACCAGCACCTTCAGCAGAGTATTAAAGAAAATTGGAAGAAGTAATAAAAAGACCCACACATACACACAGACACAGATACACATGTCTGTGCTTATAGCTGGAGCTGTGTATTGTCTCCCGTTTTAGTGAGTTTTAGACATTCTCTTTTGTGACTGTGAGAGACAGTTGCACTTGCAACAATCATGGGTCATTTACACACGTGAATGAAGCCCTGCCACTGAAGTAACTCCTATCTGTATTTATTAAGATAAATACCCACAAACAATTCCATGAATAAATTAGTTTCTGGCTGCTGTACAGATGGCAAGAGAACAAAATTACACAGCTTCCCCCCGAGCAATACAACTGCTTGGAAATAATGTCAGGAAAGCACCTGCTATGTTTGGACTTATAATTATTTAAATGAATTCAAGCAAAATAAATGTGCTGTAGAATGCCTTAATTACATACCTGTTATTTCAAAAGTGATTGACAGAAGTGGTGCAACACTAGGCTTCCCCTTGTTCTGTGACAGACTTTCTGAAATAACAGGCAACCAATACTATGTAAATTCCTGGAGTGACATTCCTTTTCATACAGAGCCTAAGACTGATAGCATTTGCCATTAAAACAAGCTGCGTTTTGGCAACGGGAGGTGAGGGAGGGAACTATCTACCATGAAGGCGGTTTGTTGCATTTGATCGTGCTTTTTGCAATTGAAATCTTACAGGCAATATAATACACATGGACTAGACTATTGACAGCGCCTATCATCACTGAAATATGATGTAGTTTTTTTAGGGTTACTTTAGCAGATGGCAAATTGGCATGTGTTTTGTATAAAAATAATAAAATCCCTGAGGATTTTGTTTCCATTTTATTTTTAATCAATGCATGCCATAATAGTTTGATCCATCAAAAATACAAGCGGCATGGGGATGGGTAGCATTCGAATAAACTATCTCCAGATGACAGCACATCAACTCATATTAGCTAGTGAATATTGCTGCCAGATGGAGATAAAGGTTCTTTTGTTCCCATTAGATTCAACAATTTTATTTTTTCCCTACGAGTAATAGAGTCTGGTACTAACACGTGTCAAATAATTGCTTTTGAAGACATTCTCATTTACTTTTTTTAATGTATTGACTGAGAGCTCTTTGTTACGAGATCCTTCAAAGGGCTGATCGATACATTCTGAGCGTTAAAGAAAAATAATTGTTGTTTTACCTCCTACCCCCCACACACAAACACACCCTGTCCCTTGAGGATGAATGATATTTGCAACAGTTAGGGAAGAAATAAATTGTACGCAATATCCCTTAATATAACATGGGTCCATGTGGCTTCCTGTAATTTGAGAAGTGATGTTCATTATACAGTCAGCGGTACCTGAAAAGGTGTGTTTGTTGTGAGAACATTTGATATTGTTCAAGATGACAGTGAAATAATGCGTGCAAATATGCGCAAAGGTGAACTGAAATGGGATATCATAATGTACCATATTGATACTTCAGCATAGCCTGAGGGAAGCATAATATTAGAAATAAAGTATGGTATTACCTTCCTTTTCCTTCTGTGTATTCAAATAGGACAAGAGATTTTCATTCGTCTGCACGCAGTAGAATTCACGTGTCTGAATACCGCCACCACAGAGTGCTGTTTGATTTCCTCGTCTTCGGTCTTGCTGGCTGAGCAAAGGGTCCACACGGCATTCACTCCACTCAGTGGTTCTCCAGGAGTACCTGCAACAAGGCAATATGTCAAGTGATGAACAAGTGCAAAATTGAAGTTATTGATATCCTCAACAACATCAACAACAGCAAATTTAAATGTATATAGTGCCTTTCACATTAGGAGAACAATATCAGCCAGGTGGCACTAGGGGCACAATTGGCCTCAATGTCTGGGTGGGCTCGGGTGGAATAAAAACAGAGCTAGCACACCTGAGGCCTGAAGTTTCTCATAACATTTTAGATTGTGCAGAATTTTGAAAAGTCCTAAATTCAATCTTAAATTAGAAGCTTTTTTGATGTACACTTTTTAAAAACCTAAAAAAAACTTCCAAATTTAAAACTTTCCAGAAATGTCCTGTGAAGCGCTTTGCGACATCCTCCTGAGGTGAATGATGCTACATCAAATGTAAGGATTATTATTATTAGGTTGGCACTTTCTGTGTTATAGGTAGGAAGTGATGTCGACAGAGCTGGAGCCATTTATTTGGCATGGGAGCTGGAAGAAAGCCTGTGTGCATACACGCACCGTGAAATCAGACATTGTGGGCTTGTTATAAGGAAGGTTGGGATTTTATGGACGTGATTGACACCTTATAAAGGGGCTCTATGTAAAATGGCCATTTGGGAGCAGGACTGCAGGGCAGTTGGAGCCCATGGACTGAATGAACTTAGGATGCTTCCCAGTGTTAGAGGAATGAGCTATGACCAACGAAGCTAGTACTCGTCAGTCTTGAGAGAAGTGTACAATTTTAAATAGGATTGAAAAAGTAAAACCACAATAAGATTTTAGGGTGCATGAAGACAATAGAATAAGACGACATAGGTTTACAGTTGCAAAGGAAAATTTCAGGACAAATTCTAGAAAGTTTTCTTTAGTTTGAGGGTAATTAACATTTGGAACAAGTTGCCAGGAAGAGTGGCTGAGGCCAGGAATCTGGACTGATTTTAAAAAAAGCTTGATTCTGTGATGGAAAGATTGTAGGTTGGGTATTCTGGAGGCATGAGTTCAGAAGGGTTAAAGGGCCTTCTTCATCTGAACCCATTTTGTGATCTGGTGCAGTCAATCCCTTCCAGAGAAGTGAAAACTGGAGGAGGAAAATAAAGTAAAGTTGTAATGGAATGAAATAATCCAATCTAGCCTGAAGATGATAACATGGCAGAAAATCAGAGAAGAAAATAATGGGAAAGTGGGTGAGAGAATTAATGTAAAATAATACATGTTAATGTGGTTTTGTTACAGTTACTGCATTAAAGGTTATCTTCTGCCTTGGTTTATGTGTATTCTGCTTCTGTATTTGATATTCCAGAGTGAAATGTTATATTAACTAATTCTTGGGAGACACTTTGAAATGTGAATTAGTGATAAGACACTATAAAAATGCAACCTCTTTCACTGTAAATGCAATGTAAATGAAACACACAGTATTGGATTAATGTGAGCACAAGTAGCAGCAGTTTCTGCAATTATATGAAGAAGTAATAAAATCCCAAACATTTCACGTGTACAGCAAAGATTGGGAATCAGATAGGGAAACTCTTCCCTAGAGCTGTGTATGTTTCTTTGATCTCTTTTAACATAAATTTATCTGGAAGTTCACTTTTGAATTCATTATTAAATGGAAATTCTGCACGGTTTGGAAAGTCCAAAGGACATAATGTTCTCTTAAGAGTTAATCCACATAAAAGCAAAGATAGCTTTTCAAAGCAAGATCCTATAAGCCTCATGCTCAAAAATTAATGAGGCATCTGAGCCATATTTCAGTGCTATATTTTTGAAGATATTCCTGTCAGCTTTTCCGCCCCATCACAGGCCAGTGCAATATATTTTATCAGGTAACAAGGAGTGATATATTCCAAACCAAAAAATGATTGCAGACTGGCTTTGTAGTGTTTTTCATGCTTGTGATTTTTTACAGATAAAACTATTCCCACTTTGGATGGAGGTTGCTTTCTATCTACTGATAATTCTGTGAAGATTTTGATATTCAATGTTTAATCGGTAGGTGGGGGAGATTTTGCTTCTACTTTGACATCATTTCAGCCGGCGTTTTGGATACATTGATGTTTCAAATATATGTATTCGTGGCAGTTTGAAGCACTCGTCTCTGAATCAGAAGGTTGTGGGTTCAAGCCTAACGATGGGACTTAAGTTCACAGGATATACTGGCACAGTTGTAGAGTACTGGAGGAATGCTGCATAGTCAGACATGCTGTCTTTTGAGAGATGTTAAAATGGGACCCAGTCGGCTTGTTTTCAGGTGGATGTTAAAATCATTTAACATTGTTCATATAGAAAGAGAAGTTTCTCCTGGTGTCCTGGACAGCAGTCCTCCAAAATAACAGCATGGCTGTTTGTGGATCTTTGTTGTGCACAAACAGCTGCTGTGTTTGCCCCAAAAGAACAGAATTTTGCTTGACAGTTATTAGCAATGAAGCAAATTGTCATGATATAGGATCATATATATATATAAATATTACTATCTCTACTACCACTAAAAATGCGACCATTGATGCAAGTGATCTTTCCCTGACGGTTTCATAGAACTGTGAGTGAAGGCGGTAGTAACTGTTCAAAAGCCAGCTTAAACGCATGGAGCCAGAGTTTGCTGTGCTGTGTAAGCGTGTGTTAATAAACTTCTGTGAGTGACCAGTAGCTGAAAGTCTGCTTGCTCCCAGCGACTGGATGCTTGCTCCTGCTGTGCACTGACAGGCGATTAGAAAGCACTTGTCCTGAACAAAAATAGAACTCAATCTGAATGAAGTCAAACCCACAATCGAGGAGACCAAGTGGAAGAAATAGTATTGGATTCTTCACTGCAGACAGCTTCATGCAGTCAATATCCCGGTCACTCTGAGGAGAAGTCTCAGCACTGAAGAGATTGTACAGTGATGGCCTTTTCTCTGCTTCGCCAAACTTGACATTTCTTGAGGAAGGGCACATGAAGTAGAAAGCAACACAAATTATGCTTAAAGGAATGTAGCAGTTCCCAAGTCATCTGAAATCTGGGGTCATCCATGTATCACCTTTCCTATTACTGGAACCTTTTGAATGCTGAATTTCCCCAATAACTTTCAAACTGGGATATGGCTTCTTCACCATGTGATATTGCCTACAAAATAACAGTTGTTGCACTTTACAGCGTATCCTATAAAATTCCTTGAGACGTCCTCCCAACGCGAAAGGACCAGACACTGCAATTGTCGTCAAGGCTCCAATAGTTCCCCTGGTCCAGAAGGATCAATTTCAAGATTCTAATCCTCAGCTACAAATCCCTTCATGCACCAGAACCTCCCAACTTCTCTGACCTACTTGTACTTACTCTACTGCCATCCCTCTTGCTCAGCAGACACAGGTCTGCTGCAGTCTCTCCAGGCCACCATTGGTGGCCGAACTTCCACCAACTACACCCCTGAATTCTGGAACCTCGTGCCTCAATCCCTTCACCTCACTCCCTCTTTATATATCTTTAAATCCCTGATTATGACTCACCTGTTCAACTGCCCCTTCCTGTCACCTCATGTTCCTCTCTCTCCCTCACTCAGTATCCAACCCCACCATAGTGCAGCTCTCTTAGCCATTATCCTGTGTGAAAGGCGCAATATAAATGAAACTTTTGTTGTTGTATATCAAATGTAACGATTATTATTATTATTAAACTGACTGTCATTCTTGAATTTTGAAACATCTTATCTCCCATTTATAAGGTATTTCATTTCCCTCGTTTTTTATCCTTCCTTCCTCATCCTGCACCGCCCACGAGGACAGGTTGCTAGAAGATGTGCTTTCAAGCCAGTGCTAAAGGGAGTTTCTGTGAAGTGTTCTACCTTTATGTGAAAGCCCAAAACCGAGCTGCAGCACAGCAGTAGGTCTGAAAAGAACAGTGAGGAAGATGGGAAACATCATACGATGAGGTGACACAGAATCTTTAAAAGTTTGTAGATTATAGGAGAATTATTATACTGAGTGAAGTGAGGAGGTCCAGAGTCCTGAAGTCCCAGGAAAGAAAGAGTTGGAGATTGAATCAGGCTGGATTTCAACACAGTGAGGAGACCGGGAGGAGAAGACATGTACTTGATGGAGTATTTTGAGATTGAGAAGAACAAAATGAAAACCTCCTTAGATGGTAATAACCCTGGTAATAACAATGATAATCCTTACATTTGATACAGTGCCTTTCACATCTGGAGGACATATCAAAGTGCTTCACAGAATATAATGTGAAGTGTATTGTATGTGTATTTTATAGGCAAATGCGACAGCCAATTTTATTTTATATGAAAGATGTTTAAAATGCAAGCTGTTGTCATTGTATTTGGGTATTTATTGCCGTCTCTCCACATAGTTCTGTTGTAGGCAAATAAAAAAGGATTTTTTATTCATGCAGGGAATTCAATAGGGATCAAACTGCTGTGTGTGTAAAACTAATAATATTTATAGACTGAACAAAATAACAAGGAACATGCAAGGCAGGTGGGAATGCATGGGTTTACTATTTACTTTAATATTTTAATATTCTAATAATATTGCCATTGTCACAGGAGATAGCTTTATGCCATTCAATAATGTCAAGCAGCATTTTTGGAATCATATGAGTGCGTTTTTAAGAGGCATAAGGTTTACACAAAACACTAAGAAAATCCAATTGTGCAAATGGTTATTTGAGATCCATATGTCGAGCGATGAATTTGCCTACAAAAGTGACACTCAACAACAGTAACCGGACTCTTTGAAATGAATAGTGCAACAGAGGCTAGTTTGACAAGCAGTGAGTGTGCCATGCTGCAACTTCAAGGATCTTTACAACAGCATAAAAATCTTTTAGTTTTCCTCCTGTTATCAATGCTAACCTGGTGTTAAATGTTGACTGATAAGTTTGAAAAGTAAACAAACATGACTACTTCTTTGAGGATACAATTTCTGTAACTCAATGTTAACAGTAAAGCACTATTTAGTTTATGCCTCAGATCCATTTCAAAGTAAGCAACTAAGCACATGTCATGTGCCCCAT